AGCCATGATACGGGTGTATTTTTTTCTTGCTTCGGGATCTTAGCGATCCTCATGGGAGCTTGAGGATAGATGATTCTCATGATATCTTGAGAATAGAGATGTAGACGAAGTCGTTGAAGGCAACAACGTCGAAGAGTACAGGAAAAACTACAAGAAACACTTTGGACTTCCAGCAGTCGACTGCACGTAACGCCGCGGTCGACTGCGAACGTGCACAACTCAGGAAAAGTCTCTGGACTTTTCGCGGTCGACCGCCAAACTCTATAGTCGATACTGAGTTTCGGTCGTTTGTCATGGTTGACCGCGATGGGTTTTGCGGTCACTGAGTTTCGGTCGTTTGTCATGGTTGACCGCGATGGGTTTTGCGGTCGACCGCGATGGGTTTTGCGGTCGACCGCGAGTCGGGCTGGGCCTGGTTTTCAATTTCTTGTTCGCTTCAGGTTTTGTGTTTGATATATCTTAAAACACGACTTTTCTAGGGTTTTCTAACGAGATTGTATTCAGAAAAGAGACCAGGGAGATTGTTCTTTGATCTAGAGAGATTGTGAGAGAGGGATTTATAATCTATTATTTCTCATAATCTAGAGAAGATATTTTCTTTCGCCCAGCTTAATTCTTTGTGTGTTTTCTATTGTTTTCTTCATAACTCACTCTTGATAATTCCGCGAAGCGACTCGTATCACAGTGATCTACTTACACGAGTTATTTAATCGTTTGTGTGGCTTTTTCCTGTTTTCATTACTTTTATGTATTCTTTACGATCGGAACACATTTAGCCTCCCCCTATGAATTTTTTTCTCCGTTCTAATATGTACAAGTCGAACGTGGATGCTGTTGAAATTGTGATAGAGAAACAATTGGGAGAGCAGCCTCGTGCTTTGATTGGTTTGTCTTGTGGCTGCATTTTTCTTTTGAAAGTTCCTCTGTCCTCTACATACCAGCCTCCATTGAGAGGTCATACTCACATTGGCGTTGGCATTTAATTAATTAATTTTGATTAACCATTGTTGAGATTTAAAAGTTTTGTAGATTTGTTTGTGTTCTAGATGCCACGTTGAACATTATACTAGAAAATGTCAATGGCATCATTGACTTTCTCTTGTGCCTCTGCCAGTTGCAACTGGCATTGACCTGTTGTATCTCCTACGATTTCATTTATGTAGTAAGGCCGTCATCACGTTGTACGCTCTTAAGTCATCGAAATAATGCGCAGGAGAATTTTTTTTTAATAGAAAACAAGCTGTCAACATGTTTAGAGTGATTTCCTTTGAGATTTCTTAACTTCATGAGGATTAGGATAAAGACTCTTGGACAATAAATTTGATTAGATGTCCTCTAATTAAGCAAAAGTTAACGTGCATCGATGGATTCAAGTTGGACCAGCTGTACTTATAATTGTTTTCATACTAAGAAAAGTTTGGTAAAGCACGGAATGCATTTATATTTTGTGATGGTGCGGTAGATTTTTGTTTTTCAGCATTTACCAAACGGGGGGACAATAAATTTGATTAGATGTCCTCTAAGCAAAAGTTAACATGCATCGATCGGTTTTCAAGTTGGACCAGCTGTACTCAATCGTTTTCATACTAAAAAAAGTTTGGTAAACCATGGAATGCGTTGGACGTTTTGTGAGGGTGCCCAGTAGATCCCCGCCCCCCCCTCCCCCCCCCCCCCCCCCCCCCCCCCCCCCACCCCCCCCCCCCCCCCCGCCCCCCCCCCCCCCCCCCCCCCGCCCCCCGCCCCCCGCGCCCCCCCCCCCCCCCCCCCCCCCCCCCCCCCCCCTCGCCCCCCCCCCCAGTATTTTTTTGTAAATTGTTATTTTGCAAGAGATTTACACCACATTTCCTTTAACCTCATGGACCATGGTCTTCTGTGATATTAGTGGATCTCTGAAAGGATTGAAGAATGCGAGCGCAACATCGTACGACCGATTTCAAAAGAGAGACACAAAGGTTTTCTTTGACCCTCTCATCGATGAAGAACACATCGCAATGTGATAGTTTGTGTGAGATGCATAATCCCATGAACCATCGAGTCTTTAGACCTAAGATGACATGCATCGATCGGTTTTCAAGTTGGACCAGCTGTACTCAATCGTTTTCATACTAAAAAAAATTTGGTAAACCATGGAATGCGTTGACGTTT